AAATGCTTGGTTCAGGATTTGCCTCGATTGGCTTAGGTCTGGAGGTACCAACTTTGGTTCCCACTTTCCCTGAGCTCTCCCTGGCTCATGAAACAAGATCCGTTCAGTTTTCAGAGAAATCTGGTTTACTGCAAATAAAAGCCAACAAATTACGATGATTTGATCCCAAGCCGTGGAAAAGACTGACAGCTGGGCTTTGGGGTTTCCAGTGATGCTGATTCAAAGTGCCATTATAGTGACCAGAATGGGAAGAACTTCATCCTCAGTAACTTCAGTCTGAAATGAAGGTGACCTACAACCAAGAAGAAGAGTCTCAAGCTAATTGGAAGGGCATCTCAGAGCATCCAGGCTGGTTCAGGAGGTCATCAGTAACCCATGAAGACACCAAGGCCTTTCCCATTCACGTTCATCTGTTGACATGCACAACTCAGTGGATGGGGGATGTAACAGGAGAAAAAGCTACAAAAGGAAAAAATTACAAAATTAAGTTTTCTTGCATAAAGGTTGACCAGGGAGGCTAAATCATTGCACAGTGCAATTCTTGGTGCTCAGGACTAAAAAAACCAACCACCTGGAAATAAGCACAAAGCAAGCAAACATCTTTTATGAACACGCAAAATATTACAGAAAAATATCTTAATTTAAAAACCAATAAAGCATCTTTTATGAACACGCAAAATATTACGGAAAAATATCTTAATTTAAAAACCAATAAAAATAAAGGCACAAAAGACTTCTAGGTGGGGTCTTCACAGAGACTTACAGGTGTGACCATTTCTCGGTCTCTCCATGGGTGACCCCATGGGCATTGCGGCGTGGGGCTCCCAAGGGATGGGGAGTGATGGGGGCATGAAGGTGCATGGGATGGCCTGACCCTGCCACCCAGAGCACTTCAGCCGTGCTGCAAAATAGATGCAGCCACTGTCTGAAGGGAAAAGAAATGCCGGTAGGTGAATACAGCAATCCCTGTTTGAATTTCCTGGATGTCAGGCACAGTTAATGTAAGGGAGACAGAGGGAGAGAGCTGAAGTATTGGCCCCAGTTCAACAAAGCACTTAAGCACAAGCTTAACTGTAAGTACGTACTTAAGTCCCTCCTTATATAGCAGAACATATGTTAACGCCTCGCTGAAGCCCGTGTTAAGTGCATGCTTAAAGTTAAGTGTCTGCTTAAGAGCTTTGTTGAATCAGGGCTGTTGTTTACTTCTAACAATTGATGTCTCCTGGAATATCCACATTTCTGGTTGCAAACCTGATGCATCTGTTTTCTCTTAACATTATTAATAGAGTCATTCTTTAAAAAACACACGACGACACGATGCTTGAAAAATCTGTGATCGCTGCATTCAGGAGAGCAAGTGACCAACAAGTCCTGAGCATTTCCACAGAGATCCCCATAGGCATCGCCCATGTTTCCCCACATCTGGTACTTCCCTTTTATTCTAGGGAGTTTAAGGGGAAGCAACAGGGTTACAAAACAATGTGGAGTCACCAAAAATACAAATAATCTGAATTTAGCTTGATTAGAAAAAAAATGTGTTACCAATGTTAACAAATCTTGAACTGTCAGAGATTGCTGGAGTATAAACTTGTAAAGGACAGTTAAATTCTTAACATAAGTGTGTGTCAAATTAGTATACATACATGTAAATAACATAAATATAAAATTATGCCCATAAATAGAATAGCTATGTCAGAAAATCCTGAACTGTGGAAGATTATTGGAATACGGCTTAACTGCACCAGCAGGTAGCAGGAGGAACATCTGAGGCAAATGAAGATGATTCACAGTTTGGGTTCTTTTCAAAGCTATGCACTTCCAAAGGAGTCAGCCCCCATAGAAATTTCACTCATTAAAATTCACTGCAGCGTGTCTGGGAAAGCGCTATCGGGATGCTCTCAGGGACTGCCAGGACAGGTAAGGCACAGAGCAACATTTTGTGCCTCTACTCATCTTTTTTTTTATATAATCTAGTTTTGCCTGGTTGTTGGGCACCTCTCCGGCTCCTTGCTCCCCTTCGGAAACAAGGCTGCTCGCTCCATCACTCCGGGTGGGTGTCAGCATCCCCATGGGGGTCCCAAGGCAGATTTGGGGACCCGCTGAGGCCCCGCGGTGTCCCAGGAGCGGCGGGCGGCCATCCTGGCTGCGGTTTCA